TTAATCATCTAAAGCTATCAACTAATGTCTTCTGTGAACATAACATTGTAGAACATCCCAACTTGTCGAATGAAAAAGGGATAGTTAGAGCTCAAAATGAGGTCATCAATGAAAATTAACTACTTATTTACTACACTCACCGATTAAATGAACGGAAGACTTCTTGAAATCTCTTAATACCACACACACATTGAAAACTGAAAAATGAATCCGGTAGAAACTTACAGATATGTATCCTATCTCTCTTTGAATGGCATGACCAACTTTTGAATCTAATCGTAAATATAGTATGTTTTTTATTTGAATAGTTCAACAAGTGTCTTCAAATGCTTTACTCCATGTACAGTTGTATACAATGAAATAAGACATACTCATTTTGTAGAAATATGAAGTTTTATTAGTAGTGAAATGAATAAAAGTCATCAATATCAAATTGAGACAAGATGTTGGACGTTTAAGTATAATGTCATAGAATCATTTGTCTAATTATATTTATGATGACCAACCTCAACTCCCGTATTTATTGGACAGATCATTACTCTTCATTTTTATGGTGTATCCTTCTGATAGAAGTTTTTGAGATTGTAATAAGTATATATATATATATATATATATATATACATCTGTTGATTCACAACTTATTGATCACTAGGTAATCCTTTAAAGTGCTGACCGAATGTTATCAATCAGGTTACAATGTGACTATTAATCTAAGTAACTTAACATCATGTGCACTATGTTGATTCGCTAAGTGGTTGGAGGTCACCAACAAGTACTAGTTCCCTCATGAATACAGGTGCATCTTCTTGACAAAACATAAGTCTATGGTTCTGTAGTGATGACTTCTGACCACCTAACGTTTCCATTAATTTAAGTGATGAGTAAATCTAGTGTGTTTCACGGGTAGTCTCCACTGGTAGACCTGCAGATAGTGAACTCGACCACTGGGTTGGTGCACGTTCTGGAAAAGTTCCGTACAAGGGCGCAATAGCTATCCAGTGCTCCGTGATTTTTTTATGATTACTTTAACTGAAGTAAATTTGTGAAGAATGCAACCTAAATTTCCGAATAAATATTAAAATTATTCCTTTATAGTGAATAATGAATTATTAATCTAAGCAACTGAAGAAATCAAGTTAAGATATACACCAACGGGATTTTGTTATTATTTTATGAACTTCTGTAATATTAAATCATATGTTGGAGATTTTTGACAATTATCTCAGATGACAAGCATTCAAATCTAACCGTAATTTAATCTCATTACCTGGGTACTATTATTCAAACTTAACAAAACAAAATTTAATGCCTAATTCGTGAAAATAGTTATTTTTACATTGTTCTGCCTGTTCGATAATAAATTACATATCGAATAAATCCAACAACTGAACAACTACTTTATTTCACTGAACATCAGGATATAGTGTGATTTATTTCAATCTAGACAATGATCTCAAAAGACTACTATTACTATGGTGTATGCTACTTATAACGGCGGACGCAAGTAGTATGTAGCAACAATCAGAAGTGGAATGTCCGGCAGCAGAAGGTTGAGATCAAATTGAAGAGGAAAGAAATGTTAACAGGGAGTAATTGTAATAACAATAGGAACGAAGGAACTATGAAGTTTGTAAGAGATGATTGATAGAAGATATGCAAACGAGGTATTTAACGTATGGTCTTCATATTTTATGAAGACATTCCTGAGTGTTCGTTCGCTACACTACTACCGCTGCTAAATTCCTATATTCATAGCTTAGATTGAACTAATAACCTTGTGATGACAAAAATTTAGTTATCTAGAGAACGCACTATCGGGAAGCACATACATTATATATGTTGGCTATCTATTCAATAGAATAATATCAATAATTGATATACAACTTAAATGAATATTGTATACGAGAACATTGGTGAAAAACAAATATTTTCTATTAAATTCCAAATTATTTAAACTGTAATGATGATTAACAAAATATTATTTGCAATTTTAGTAAAAATAAAATATATTGATTAATAATAATGATAGTTATAAGGAGAGATGATTGTGGCTAACAGTTGAATCCAGGAAGCATATTTCGTCCTATTTAGAACTCGTCAGATGAATGTACCGGCATCTCAGAGTTGATGTTCACTCCGGGACTCGGATCTATTACCGTTCGCTTCAGACACCATCACATTATCCACTTAGCTGCTGAGTCCTAATAGTCACTAGCTTGTGCAATGGGTTGAAGTTTAAATTCATTTTGTATTGGTTGTTTGAAACTTCTCATATATGTTTATGACGGCGGTTTATCAACTTCTTATTGACATATGTGTAACCTGCGTGGATTGCCTCGATACTGCCTTAAATCACAAGCATTATAGGCAGAGATAATAATGATAAAGAATATACAACATTCCACTTTTCATATTGTTTTTATCATTAATTGCTTCATTATTATTAATTAAATACTTTTACGTCATAAACTGAATTTACATAGATGTGTATGTCATAAAGCTTCAACCGAACTATACACAATTACCATCTCATATTAATAGTTTTTCCGAAGGATAGAAAATGAACAGTTTATGAAAATTCTTTAAAAGTTTGAAGCATATGTATATCAATATCATCAACTGGAAATTTGCTTTTAAAACTGATATGAAATTTTGCCAGATTTTATGTTAACAATGATTGATTCACTGATATTAGTCATATTGTTTAAAAACTTCCGGTTAATATAAATAAGAATTTATGAAGGAAGAAAGTTCTATTATTTAAAAAAAAAAAGATTATTAACAACTTCCAGAGTTATTCGTCTAAAATGTTGATCTAAAAGATCCAAGTTTGAAACACATACAACTGTCTTTCGTCCCTTGCCCTCTCAAGATCAATCAAAGACACAGGAGGGTATCCACAATGACTGACAACTTTTCTATGATCACAGGAGTAAGTTCCTATAAATATCTGATACCTAATAATTTAGGAAAGCTAATAGTTGTAGATGTGATTCCTTCGTTTATATATGGATAGTGAAAGGATTATGTGCAACGAGATGATTATCTATAAATCATAACAACGAATTACTGCACATAGTTAATGGGAGTAGCTAATGATTCTAAATAAGGAACATCTATCTTTGATTAATTTCTGGGATTGCAGTATTGATCGTAATCACTTCTTTTTCTGATCTTAATATAGTTGAAATCTCACTACATAAGAATATTAAACTGTGTGTGAATTTATTCTGAATCTTTCGTATGATGATAAGTGAATTTGTAGAAAACTTATGACCGCCCTATCGAATCTTTATTAATAGATTCGATGAAAAGTTACAGAGGTAAATTTACAAGAGAATCAAAAATGCTATTAGATTCTTGATAAAAATCATTAATCATCTTGACATTGTTCTTGTATCAGCTTACCTAATATTCGATGTGTTATGTCCGACGAAGACTTAAGGAATGGTGACTCCTCGGATTAATTTATGGACTATTGTTGCATATGTTCTTACTGCATAATTATTAAGTAACTAGCTTATCATTGTGACCTACTTATTTCCTGGATTCATATACGACGTGTTAGACATATTTGACAAAATAATTTGTCGACAGACAGACAGTAATCGATTTTACCGAAATTTCTAAATAAAGAAATGCAATTTGACTGAAGTGTGAGTTAGACAAGTTAGCTGTTCTACTATTTCGTTAAATACAATTGTAATAATAAAAACAATTTACTAGAAGTCGGTAACTAAATAAGGTATCGTGTACTAGAGTTTGAGTTATACCAGAGGCAAGAAAAATAGAGATAATTATTTGGTAGCTGAAACATAAGTTAATGAAGTGGAATTCGAATACGTGACATGAACGGTGGGAGGTTGGTGTTTGCAACCACCGAAGTACTGCTCCACAATCAAAATAAACTACTGATCATTATTTCTGCACTGTGAAAGTTTAATCTTTAGAAAAACCGCGATCTATCCCTCTTTCTGTTTTTCAAAGTTTCAAGTAACAAATTTTGAGGTTTGTCTGGTCATCCTATTATTCAAAACTCAGAAAAGAATATATCTTCACACAAACACCATCTTTAGTACAATAATGATAAATGTATTACTGACGTAGGTTTATGGATATGGGCGAATCACGTAATTTATGTCATGAACTAATTCCAAAAGGTAATTGATAAATTTGGCGGATTCACACACAACACGTAACATGGAAGGTCGAATTATGGGTCAGAGATGATACACATGCCATATTATTGAATAAAGCAGATCACGCACACAGTCAAGATATGAGTCTATATATCCTAGTCTGTATCAGAAATACAGATTTTAAAATATCAATAGTATGTGCACATTTTATTCCGATACCACTTAAAGCTCCATAGTCACCTCACTCACTTAGAAAATTGGAGAATCGTATAGGAAGCGTGTGTATTTGTATCTGAAATGAATGACAGTGGGACGCAACAGTAATCCTCAGAGTTCTAGTGAAAAGCAGTGACCAGTGGAGTTTAAACAGTTACTCAATAATAGCGTTGGACAATAGCTGTGAAACATCTGAAGTCAGACAGTAAACCACTGGACGACAACTCAGTGGTTCAGAGATTAAACACTTTTTAGCGCGTTCAATTTCTGGTGAAGTTGTAAACGTATACATTAAGATAAAATAACTATTCATTCAGTGCCTCGTTGATTTAAGTAGTTGTCTAAGATCAGTCAGTGATTCAAAACATATAAATACATAAAAAAAAACAAAGACAATCGTAAGGGTTGAATAGTGGTAACTAGTATTGGTATTAATAATGAATACAACAGCAAATAATGATAATATACAAATAATCACAGACAATGTAGATAGTGCTAATACTACTACTAATAATAATAACAGCCTAAACCTGTACAAATAACACCATGTTATTATGAATCTATAATAAGATACACCGGAGTTACAAGTGTAATATCACTTTCTTCTCTCTTTTTTTAAAAAAAAATAATAACAATACAACTTACAATAATAATAATTTGTTACTGTTGAAGAAAAGATAAACTACATCCACGGAGATGTTTAGTTAATTCTAATTCAGTAAAAAATAATTCAGAACAAAAATTACATTTAATTAAATTAGTTGGATGTTTACGTAAATAATGTGATTTTAATGTACAATTTTGAGCTGAGGAATAATTACATTCACGACAACTAAATGGTCTTTCACCTGTATGAGTACGTATATGTACAGTAAGATGACTTTTTTCAACAGTTGTATATTCACAATAAGGACAACTGAATGGTTTCATTTTAGTATGTTGTATCATAATATGTTTACGTAAATGTACATTTTGACGAAATGATGTACCACAATCACGACAGATATAACGTCGTGGTGGAATTGAATCACAGTAATACTTATTGACATTATTATTATTACTATTATTATTAGGACAAGCAATCAAATTTGTATGCATTATTGTTGGCATTTGAAGGATAACATTAGCAGTGGATGTGATCACTTTATCATTATTATTAACGTTCGATGTAATTACGATACTTCCAGACGAAACAGGCATTGATTTCATTGTTACATCTACATCAACATTTGCTTTCGTTATTGTTGAAGATGACAATGAGAAACTATTCAATATGATTGGTTGATCATTATGAATATTAGTATTTGTATTATTATTATTATTATTATTGATATAATTAATTTGTGATGATAAATAATTATCATGTATTTTAGAATTACTATTATGTAATTCAGTATTTTGACAATATTCATCATTATCATTATTTTTTTGTTGTTGTGGTGGTGATGTTGGAGGTGATGATGATGATGATCGTTGTATAATCATATCTGATAATAATGGTAATTGTGGTGATAATATTGAATTTAATGGACTTGTAATTGTTGTCGGTGTAGCTGCATTCAATAACATTGCTAAATCAGCATAATCAGAATAACTAAATTCTGGATCAAAATCAGTTTGTACTTCAGATGATTGACTAATTATTGATCTTTTCGGTGAACATGGACAACATGTAATTCGAGCGGTGTTCGTAGTTTTTGTTTCTTGAATAATAAAATTATGATTATTATTATTAGTTTCATTTTGCATTGATCGATCACAACATATTGGTAATGTTACCGGTGTTGATGTACAACAGACAAGTTTACGCATACAACAACTAACAATTGCCGTAGATGCAGTACATCTTGATGCATCTTGTGTAATTATTTCATTAGTATTTAATAAATTCGAACATGTTTTCGGTTTACAAATAATTGATCCTGTAGTACAACAATAATCACTAACATACATATCAGAATTCATAGAACTGCCATTACCATGATTATCATTATTGTTATTATTACTACTATTATTGTTGCTATTAAGATTATATGGACATATTCCAGTCGATAGATTATTACAACACGATGAAAGTGTAAGATTACAATTTTTCACATTTGAACAAGTCGCTTTGTTGTTAAGTTTATTGCAAGTCACTGTTGATTCACCTATGCAACAACTAACATATTTACGTTTTCTATGAGGTATACTATGCTGTTTAATTCCAGTTAGATAAGTTTGTGTTGAGGCATTATGACTGTTACTATTAATTCTAATACTAGTAGTAGTAGTAGTATTACTACTACTATCGGTATGAGCAATGTTATTTGTAATAGTAGGTGTATCAGTAGTACTATTTGTATTATTATTGTTATTATTAATAGGACTAATATATTTATTATCATTATTTGTAATAGTAATTGTTGTATCAGAATCGGAATTGTTCACTTTTTCTGAAAGTAATTTATCAATTGTATGCAATACACCATTTTCACATTGATCATCATCATCCTCTTCCTCCTCCTGCTCATCATCATCGAAATCAACACTAAAATCATTGTTATTAACATTAGTTTCATTCAATAATTCTTCAACATTTGATGATAATGTATTCTTTAATTGTTGTTCATGTGTTTTCGAAAATTTTTCAATTGTATTAATAAATATTAATTGGTGTTCAACTTGAACATGCATTAAAAATGTCCATGGGGTTGTGAATTCACGAGAGCATTGAACACATTTTAAAAAGATAGTATTACTATTTTGTGATTGTAATAAAGTATTATTATTATTACCAATATTATTACTAATATTGTCCATAACATTTGAACATGATAATGTCATTAATGGAGAAGGTGAAGATGAAAACGACGATGTTGATGGTGTCTCTAATGATGGTGATGTTGATGATGATAACAATGAAGAATATTTATTATTTTCTGAATTTGAAGAAGTAAACGGTGATCTTAAGAAACAACAACTTGCCTTTTTATGCTCAATAAACATATTAATATCAGAGAGGCGAAAAGTAACAAAACACGTTCCACATGATAAAAAATCAACTGTCATTTTTTTTGTGGTTTACAGCTGATACTATTACAACTCCTACTACTACTACTAGTATAAATTTTCCAATGTCCGTTAGGATGAACTGCAGGAGGAAAAATAGATTCAATGTTTGAATCGATCACAATTCGATGGTTCAATGTTAAAGACGCTATGAATGTGAATATTATTATTATGTAGAATAATTTCTGTTCACTTGAAAATATTCAATGGAGCTAAAATTAGAGATATGAAGCATTTTAATTAAACTGATACAATGAAATTCTCAAACAAAAATACTTGGATGTAAAATAAAACAAAACATTTGCAGAATGATATATATATATATATGCTGGGTTCCTACCTAATGAAACTTCGATAAAGATCCAAAAGCTCAGTTGACTCTCGGCAACTTGCATAATTCCTTTTGTAGATGAGATGTCTGTCTGTCAAACAAAGAGTAGATATACTCCGCAAAAAGTCGTTCTGTTTTACATTTTGAGAGTACAATGTAGCCTTTAAAAAACAGCATTAAGCAAGTGATATGCTTGTGGACGAGTGGATGTCTGGTTGATGTGTGAGGTGATGAGACCGCCAATTAGAGAGCAGCGAATTATAGACTGGAACAGTGACACACGAAACCGTACGGGCAGTCTACAGTGCTAACCGGTCCTGCGATCTGCCTAGCCCAACCAGTTAAGTTTAAAACACCGATAACAGCCTCAGTGGTATGAATCATTGTATTTCAAACATACTGAGTTTATATACCAAACAAACAAACCATATCGACCCATAAAATAGATAATAACATTTGTACAATATTTAGCCGAATGTGGCTGTGAATAGTAATCAATAAACTGATGATAACTCAAGAATCGTATGATAATAAGTCAAGGTCAAAATAAAGCTAATGATAAGAGAAATACGAATATGAATAGTTCAGTTACGTAATAATTGTACAATGGGAAATAGGCATATTACATTGATCCATAAATAGACCTAAAAGTCACCATTCGTAATTCACCGGGGGAAATAAAAGCAAGCTACTATTATTTGGTCATATGTGTAGTTGGAACATTGCACGAGTATGTTGGGATCACCGAATGAGCAATGTTGAAGTGAGAAACAGGATGCTATGCGAATATGGAAATTTGATGCGTAATACTGTATATCTTCATTCACTGAGGTTCATAGGATATCTATAAGGAATTCCTAACACACGATACTCCTTGGTCATACGAGTGAATTGTAAGAAAGATGGGAGTAGAAAAACCAAAATGCAGGATCAACAAGATAACCTGAACCGTAGCTTAATGCTAGTTGGGACTCGCCAGCAAGGTATATCACCAGTTATGATAAAACTGAATACTCCCATAAGGGGTTAATAATAGTAATTCAAATTACAACAGTAATAATAATGAATTATTAGGTTCTCCACCAACCTGTATAAACCAAGGTTTTTAAAGTTCAAGTACAGATTAAATTTAAATAAAATCTACTTAGGTTATTGATAGTCATTGTTCGACAAATATATTAATGATGATTAACTTGTTTTAAATGTACTTCAATGACTACGCTAGTGGTCTCTGTTCATTTATGTCGGAGTGTACTATAACATTGAAATATTTAGTTGTATTTATTATTTATTTAAACACATAAACATTGTCATAAAGAGGTACCGGAATATTTATACACCACACAAAGTAGTTATCACTGGGATATTTCCCGAGTTCCCAAACTAATGACCAAGAGGTCTGATCCACAAGGCAGTGGAACAACGTTAGGAGATGCAGTCCCACGGTAACTGATGACTAATAATAGATTCATACTCCATTTGTTCCCTCAATGTCTTAGGGCCCATGTGCACCTGCACCATTGGTTCGGAATCAGGGTTTTCCAGCTTCTCTAGATAGGTCCTCCGTAACCACTAACCCGGTTTAAGCGTCGAATATTCGCTTTCCGTTCCCTCAATTTCGTAAACAATACCCTTCCGAGGAGGCAATAGACAGGACTTCCCTCTGAGTGACCATATGAGAGCATTTCGAGATGAAGAGAGGATTCTTCCCACCCTCAGTTGTACCATGACATTTATTTTCTTACCTCGTTGTTTTAAGAGTGAATTCTCAATTCGATCAAAACCGACACTGCTTTGTAACAGGACCCTCCCCCTCCCTCAGTCGTACCAAAGCATTTGGGGGCAGTTATATTGTAACTTAATCAAAAGAACTAGATCAACACTGGCAACCATAAAACATGATATTGGCCACTATAATACCAAATCACCAACTACCATGTAAACCGAAACAATTGTATGGATTATAAACATGGTGTAATTATTTAACAACACATACCATTAAAATATACTACAATAGTTTGTTGTATCTCTTGTTCATGATTTCATACGGTTTACTATAAATCTTATAAATTCGAGAACCTAATATTATTTTTTATACTAGGTATAGAACATTTGTAAATCATTCGATTTGATCATTATTTTATGAGTAAACAAAAGTTGAAGTCAATAAATAACTCAAACTTACGATATTTGTCACTAGTATCTTTATTAGGCTCATTGACCTTTTTCACATAATTCTTAACGCAGTGTCTGAGGTTATATATGAATGAAGCAGAAACGTACATATTGTAAATCTTAGGGTTAAATTATGATAACAATAAAATGACCTTTAGTAGTAACGATCATCATCTTGTTGTTTCACTACTAATAGTACAAAATATTATATCTTTCATTGTGAATGGTTTATTTTGAAATAAGCACAAAGAGATTACATAGACTGTAATATAAACATCACACTGACAAAAGGACATTTAAAACAAAAATGGGCCTCAAAACATTTTTCTCGTTTACTTTTGTTACAATGATAACAATTAAATATTCATATATTACAATGTAATCTGTTTTTGTCAGTTAAATCTCTATATATGAATAAAGTGATCAGAGAAAATATGAAAACCGATTGTGGATAAGTTTTAAATGTGCAGCGGAAGGGGAGATACCAGAATTTTTATTTTATTAAAACAGTTATCAGGTACATATCTGTACACTTGATTTTCAAGCCTACTCTAAGTATGAGGAATAATGATAACACCATTGCTACCTTAGCATTTATCACATGTTTCTAGCCAATACGTATGACTGCGACACAGCTGTACGAGAAATAATCTGATAATTAACAGGAGCAACTTGATTACTAAATATCTAGAATCATATTTTATTATAGTTATGTATATAGTCATGTTAAAGTTCATTTTTAATGATTACTAATATTAGAACTCTAAAAATATAATATTCCTACTTGAATTGTAATTTAACGCTTACTGTATATAAGAGTCGAAACCCCCAAATGCCCTTGTACGGCCGAGAGTGGGGAGAATCCGCTCTCCCTCTCGAAATGCTCTCACATGGCCACGTGTATATAGCCTATGCCAGGGAAGTCCTACTCACTGCCTTCTCGAAATTGAGAGGATGAAAAGCGCTTTCACACGGTTGTTGGAGACGGGAAGTTTACCTGATTCCAAACCAATGGTAAACATGGGCTCCAGTATCCTGAGGGAATAAATGGCGTATGAATCAATTGTTGGTCACCGGCTGCCATGGGACTGCATCTCCTCACGATACTCCACTGCCTTGTGAATCAGACCTTTAGGTCAAAGGCTCCGGGTATGGCTCCGTAAGAAAACCATTTGCTTCAGTTTGGGCTCCCAGGCAGTATCCCAGCCCTTACACAAATCAAATGAGGTGTGGCGCATATATATCTGGTGCCTCCTTGTACCAATACTTATGTTTAAATAAAATAATAAAAACTTTTACGATTTATTCAGTCTACTTTAGGTTTCTGCTGTAAAACAAACACTAGTTTAGTAGCTTCTCAGTGGTTTGTCGCTTGAAGCCACTGTCACCATCTAAATCTCCAGGAGTTCAACGTTTACCGGGAGGCTCACTCATTGACTTAGAATACGCCGACGACATAGTTTTATTTGGTGAAGACGCTGACAAAATGCAGAGTCTTCTGATCACCATAAGCAACTATGCAGGGATGTTCGGGATGCGATTCTCTCCTTCGAAGTGCAAAATATTCCGGCAATAAGGGACTATGCTATCTCAACTGACTGGTCGGTCGATGCTGATGGATCGATTGATGATGCATGGAATAGGTTCAAGTCTACGTTCGAATCCGTAACTCAACCGTTTATCCCATGGTCAGCACGTAAGCTATCACATTGCCCCCCATGGATTAATAAGGAAACCTGGAAGCTGTTGAAGCGTAGGAAACACTTCTGGGACTTATTCTTGTCAGCAGGTTAGGCATCATTTAAGTGCGAATATAAAAAAATCCGGAATATATGTAAAAAGACCATAGCTAAAACCCGCGCGGATTACGAACGACAGTTGGCATACGATAGCCGTACCTGTCCGAAGCGACTGTTTTCGTATGTTAAAAGGCGGACGAAACGTAGTGATGGTATCCCCTCATTACTGTTAAGCGAAAATTCAGCTTTATTGGCTGAATCTGATCTACCGAAAGCGGAGACATTTGGAAACTATTACAGTGTTACAACTACTTGTCCCGTTGACAATGAAATACCAGCCATGGGACCTTTGCACGTGACAGAGGATATTGTTATTCCTTTGATAACTAACCTAAAACCGTGTAAGATACCGGGCCACGATGGGTTACACCCACGTTTGCTGTCGTCGCTTGCGGACATTATCTCAAGACCGCTCACGATGCTCTTCAACATGTCCCTTTCACAGGCTCAACTACCTAGAGACTGGAAAGACGCCATAGTTAGTCCTATATTTAAGGATGGTCAGAGACGGATCGTATCTGACTACCGGCCTGTTAGCCTGACCAGTATATTAGTTAAGTTACTTGAAAAATTAATTCGGGCTAAGCTACTGAGCCACATAGATTCGTACAACCTGTTAACTCCCGAGCAACATGGGTTTCGTAACAAGCATTCATGCTTGACTAACTTACTCATTGCGAGAGAGGATTGGACAGCTGCCCTAGACAACGGCCAGTCTGTTGACGTGATATTCATAGATTTTAGCAAAGCGTTTGATAAGGTTTCACACTTAGGTCTTATGCAAAAGCTCTCGAGCTTTGGTATAACAGGTGCTATACAGGAATGGATAGGAAGCTTCTTGTGTGACCGCAGACAGAGAGTGAGGGTCAATGGAACTCTATCCGAATGGAAACCGGTCAAAAGTGGTGTACCCCAAGGCACCATCTTAGGCCCTTTACTTTTCCTTCTGTATATTAATGAACTACCTTTATTACTTAAGTCGTCGACGTTATTGTTTGCGGATGATGTTAAAATCTGGAGAACAATAAGAAATGAGACTGATCGTTGTTATCTGCAAGCAGATTTAGACGAATTAGTTAGGTGGGCTCATGATTGGGGCCTGGAAGTTAATTCCAGGAAGAGCGTGTTCATGCACATCGGACACGGTATTAGTTACCATTATACCATTAATGGTACATCTCTGCCACGCGTTCAAGAGCACAAAGACTTAGGAGTAATTATAAGTCACGACTTAAAAACTACTACGCACTGCAATGCGGTTGCTTCCAAAGGCTATCGCGCGCTATGGTCGCCTCGCAGAGCATTTAAATGCTTTGACGAGGATATGTTTCGAATTTTATATCCCACCTATGTAAGGCCACACTTAGAATACTGTATCCAAGCAGCTAGCCCTTGTCTGATAAAGGATACTAAATCGCTTGAGCGCGTCCAGCGTGTAAGGACAAAATTAGTAAAGGGTCTTTCTAAACTCCCTTACGATGAGCGTTTAAAACGTCTAA